CAAACTATTAAAACAAATAGATCACTAAGGGAATTAGCCCTAAGGGAAAGATTATACTTGCTTTTAACTTAAACCCAGAGCACTGAGGGAAAGATATTGCTATATCAACATAAATCATGTAAAATACTACTCTATTGACTCTCCAATTGAACTCATTTAATAAAATTTCGAGATTTATATTTAAATTAACATCATACTACTAAAATTGAGCAATAACAAGTAAAAGCAATCTCTAAATTTGACCTTAACCTATTCATGTTTGGAAGTCATGTGAATCTGACTTCACTAGATCCATATGTTTCACAATTTAAGTGAAAAATACCATTCAATCCATATTCCATTAAAATATCACAAGCTGCTATTTCTCACACTATTCCCCTAAAAAGAAAAATTGTGCACAGCAGCAAAAAAAGGTAGAAATGGTTCAACCATTCAACATCAATAGCTTATCAATTAATAATAACTCCAATACTTTTGCTTAAGTCCAATCCAATTCACACCTAAACATTATTGGCAGATAAAAGGCATGTCAAACTTAAACATTTACTCTAACTTCAGCATATAAATTTAAGTCTAGACTGGCAGAATTTTTTTATAACGGTAGATAAGAATCATACATCAAGAAGTAGTTATTGAAATATTTCCTAAAAAATTTATAAAAATAAGAGAAAAAGGAAAAAGAAAAAGGAGTAGAAAAAATAACTCACCTTAGTAAGAGTTAGGATCTCAATTTCGCATGATGAAAGGAAGGTCATCGAAGAGCATTGAAGCTACCGTTTGCTAGTTGTCATCTGCAAAGCCCAAGTTAGTAGAAAAATTACTTTGCTTGGATGGAATTGAGGATTGCCACCAGTGAACTTACAGTCACTGTGAATTTAGTATAGAGAGAATATAAGTTGAAAGGAGAAAAATGGTAGTGTTTTCAAGTGGTGGCCGGCGAAGAGAATCTGAAAATTGAGAGTGGCCGCAGCTAGGGATCCTTATTTGGTTTCATCGTTTTAATCTTTCAGAATCAGAAATGAGAAATTCTCAATTTAGTATTTCGTCACTCATTAGTCAAGAGAAGTCAACGTTGTACTTAAAAAATGTTAAAAATTGGAAAAAGCTGTATTTTAACTCCTGAGTTTTTAAGCTAACTCATAGCAGATTCTTGGCTGATTCCCTTTCGATTGATCCGACCGCTTTGCCAGTCCGAGCCTAAAAACATAGGTATCGGAGTCTTTAGAAATGTCTCCGTATCTTAATTTTAGATAGTTGTTAAACTAGACATTTTGACATATACCCAAATCTGGCATCCATACCTAAGTTTAAATAACATAAGTTAGGATATACTCTGTCTCTCTCTCTCTTACGTTTATCACTATAATAACTTTTCTTAGGTTATCAATTAATACAAAGTTCATATTACGTTTAGAACATAGTAGAATTATTTCATTTAATATTTTAAGTTTAGCTTTAAAAGATCACGTGTTGGTATTTGATCCGATATATAATCTCATCTTTGATATATATCATATTGAGATGATAATATTAATAAATGAATAGATACACTATCAAAGTTAAAAGAATAACTGGATATAGTTTATCAAGATAGAGATTACTTTGATAACTTTAATGCAACTTGTATGGGGCATATATATAGTAATGATGTCTATATAATATAGCAAAACTATTCGCAATGTAGTTGAGTTTAAAAAATCAGAAACCATGATGTATTCCAACTGATAGGTTTAATTCATTATTATTTTATAAGTTCCATCATATCATAACTGTTTTAATACAATAAATGTTTTATAGCCTTAGTGAAAGTTAGGAAGCCCTTAAAGAAATTTTCTATGCTTTAAATTTGGTAACAAAAAACTTAGAGATCTATGAATCAAGAGGTCCAAACCTTAAAACCCATACTTAGGGCTATTAACAGTCAGTACTACTACCATAGGCATTTTAAAAGAGAAGTTTGATAATGGCTATAAGAATAAGGATAATGAAATCAGCCTCTAATTTAAGATGTAGGTAGATATCAAATTCAAGATGATGATGGGATGATGTCTCCAATGAAAAAGAAGATGAATCAGAAATAGCATCAAAGTCTAATTAGAGGTAATGGTTTCAGAATCTAGAGATTTGATGGATTTAGATGAATTAGAGGTAGTTACTAGAGCTTAGATTTGGTGCATTGAAAAAGAAGGAAAAAAGGAAGAAAAAAAAAAGAATTGGAGAAAAAGAATTGGAGGGAAAAAATGGAGAAGATGAAAAAGTAATTTGGTTGAGGAAAAATGGATATTTTTCAAAAGAAATTTGTTAACAATAAATTGATTTTATCACTTATACTCACACATAAGGTTAGTCCACTATACTCTTTGTTAGTTTGGCTAATTTCCATCCAAATTCGAGCTACGTTCAAAATATAGGAAGGTTCTTTAAAAATTTGAACCATGAAGAGCTTCTTGACTTTTTTTGAACTACAAGGGTTTTTTTGCATCTTGTAAATTTATTAGATATTATGCATAAAACGGAAAAGTTAGATTTATATCTTCTCCTTCTCTATCTCAATCACTTCCTCTCTTTTATATAGACACACATTATCACATTATACGCACAAACTTACTAACATTGTGTGATTTTTGCTCCATCGATTTAAACTTTGGAAGTGGAAATTTTGAGATTTTGCATGATCTAGAGTAATACATTAGTAGCGAGTAAAAAGTTACCATCATTTAACTAAAATTTAATCCTAAGTATATAAAAATGGACCTTGGTTGAATTTTTTCATTTTTTCATTATACTTTATTGGCTAACTAATCAATTTAGAAGAATCAAATAGCAACGGAGTGATGAATAGGTTAGATAATAAGACTATGTTTCTATCTCACATTCAAAGAGAGTAAGGCACAAGGATATGTTATTCTTGAAATTATGATATTTAATAATTTAAATATATAGTTGATTAATCATTTAAATGGTTATTATTATACCAAAAATCGCTTAATGTACTATTTTATAGTTGTATTATTATATAACATGTGGAAGGCATATAATTCAATAAATCTTAATTGTATAATCAAATGCCTTCATTTATCCACACTAAAAAACTTATGTGCATATATTTAGTAAACATGCACTAAAATTTTAGATAAATTGTTATAGAACATTGATTTTGTTGGTGATAAAGATTACTTGACTGTGAGTGATGATAATATTAGTATGGATTTCATTTTCAGCATCATCTTACTCATTATTTTCAACTCTTAGACACAAATATAGAATTTTCTTTCCTTAATGGACGTATGATAATTGTTATGGTTTTTATTAGAAAAGCCAATGCTAACATTGCAAATTAAGAAATCTTTTGATGGTGCATATATGAATAATTTATTTGGCTAAAAGAACTTGAATGCTGCATTACTACAACTAAAGGATGATCTACACGGTGAGTCAACTGAGTTAAATTGAAAATTTCATCCTTTAATCTATATTTTCTGATTGTTTCTTCAGCGAAAATGTTATGAGTTTTTTCTGGCATAAAAATTGTAATTTGTCTAAGGAGGAATATCACGTATCTTCAATTACTAGCTTGAAAAAAGTAAAAGAATCATCTTTGTTATAAGGGTGCTTTTTCAGCCATTTTGCACTTTACATATCACCATTGGCTAAGTGGATATCTTTGATCTTAGTAGTGTCATATGGCACTATACAAAAACATAGAAGGTTATTAGTGATTTACCCAAAAATCTTTGACCTTACTTAATACACTATCAAGGCCTTCAAAAAAAAGTTTTACTTTTGTATTCCCTTCTATTTGAGCTCTAGTACTCATTTTTTGGCGTATTTATTTCATGATTTGTTGAATAGTTAGAATAAAGTCACATGTTTGTATGCACATAGTAGTGTTTTTCTTTTTTCTTTCTTGTAACGAAATCATTTACTTTTTTGGGTAATTTCTTTTATGATATGCTTTGAAATTTGGTATGTTTGATTTTACATCTTTATTGTGACTATTGTGATAGTCATTCTTAGGTATCTTTTCAAATAAGTGATATATAAGAATTTTCTCATAAATATACAATCACGTGTAATGCATGATTTTGCACTATTTCATTGTAGAATATAATAAAATTCTTGATTGTACAATTGAAGGGATTTTCATGGAGTTTTGTGGTTCTAAAGATGTAGCTAGAAAATACAAATTCATCAAAATGGAATTTGAATCAGTTCAATTTAAAATGAAATTAACATTTCCATTTTTTTGATGGGCAACATGTGTAAGTGAGTATATGAATGTCAATATGCAAATCTATTACAATTTATGAACTACAAAATTTGTGAATATGTAAATGTGGACATATGAACTAGTATAACTTGGAAACGAGAAAATTCTTGGTCAAATTCAACTTTGCGGTTAATTATCAAAAAATATATCTAATTACTACCGTCAAATATATAAAATAGTTTTAATGACATACTACCGAGTTTGAGTATTTTATGGCTATATTTGGATGATTGTTTGAGTTCTGATGTTCATTTTTTAGTTTAATCATTTTATTTATTGAATAATTAGGATGTACTTATGTCTCCATACGTACAATACATAATATATTTTTTTTTACCTTGCATGTATCACTTGGACGAATATAAAGCTTACTATAGGAGAAATAAAGTAAGAAAAATAATTAGAATATATAGTAGAAATTTGATATAAAAGTTTTAGTGAGAGAAGACCAATTGAAAAAAAATTATATTAAAAATACATAAACTCTTATGAAATTGAAATTATGTATATTCTTAGCATATATATGTGATCTAAATTATACATAATAACTGAGAATTTACCAATATGTTTTTGTATACAAATATGTAGATGAACGAATTAGCTTCTAGTTACCTTTTTATATGTGTTCATTTGTTAAATTTGTAAAAGGTGAACTTCGACAACTTTCCAATATATCAACGGAACTATAGATCGTCAGATGTGTCGCCCTACTGAGCAATAGGCAGAAAGATGTGCAATAAGGTCATCAGGATAAGACTCCCAAATAAACTATGGCAATCAGAAATGGAGTTAGTCGCGACAGTAAATACATATTGACTTTACAATAGCAATATTTATTAGTAGAATAGCTCATCAATGTCCATCTTGGTAAGTTGATCACAAAAGGAGGACATAACATGCGAGAGCACATATTTCGTTGTACGGCTGCCGCCCCTCCGACCGCCTTTAGGAAATTCATTTCCTTGTGCAGTGGAAACCAACACGGTGGAGCGAATTTTGGGCATTCTCTCCCATACCCATAACTGTTAATAAAGAAAAAATTGTCCAAGTCATATTATTTATGCATTCGACTAAAATAAAGACATTCAAACATCCAAAAGCTATTTCATTCTCACCTATAGAAGCATATATGGGCCAACAGTGTAGCTCGTTGAAACCTACGATGCTTTGCAGAGATAAGAGTATAAACAGCAAATATTGCACTGCCCCAACTGTATTGGCTTATACCCTCTGTGTCGGATATAATCTAACCAAAGACAACTGAAAACATTGCCACATATATCGGCAAACAACTGTCTTCCAAATAACATCAAAATATAGCACCGAACATGCTGGCAAACTAATTCTTTCGGTGCATCATTTGAAAGAGACTCGTATAAAAACTCTAATAGGGGTACAACTTTCAACCTCTCAACCTTAAAGTGTCGGTTCTCCATTAACTCATAATTACTAATTACTAGTATTGTTACTATTATTTAATATTTACTATGTAACTGCCGATTACTAATTACTACTACTGTTTACTATTACTATTAATTACTAATTACTAAAATTACTATTTATTATTGCTATTTGCTATTTACTAGTTACTATTTACTAATAACGGCATACTAATTCACATTATGCATAAAAAATTACTAAATACTATTAATTAATCAACTTCAACTTCACACACAACATCAAATCCATTATATCAAAAAAATTACTAATACTAATTACTGAATGACAGTACCTATTTTGCCAAATGTGACGAATGAGGCTCGTCTTCTCACTCCGGAGTTTCAGGAAAGACACCGGCTGCACAGTCTGCTTTAAGAAGACACAGGAGACATGCAATTGGAACCGACTACTTGAAAGCTTCAGACGACACAAGCGAGGCGGAAGCATTATTTTGGAAAGACATTAGTTCTGCCTCTGCTTTGGGAAGACACTGGCGGAAGCACTACTTTGGGAGGACACTGGAGGAGAAAGGAATACAAGGATGGACAATCCACGAATAGGGATGGACAATAGAGAAAAAAGGGGTTGGTGAGAGAGAAATGGATGAATTTGGCTACCTATCTATAGAAAAAACTTCACTCGTTTGTATCGATGGGTTTACATCGTTTGTATCAAATACAAAAACTGTTGATCTCCTTAAAATCGACGGCCAAAATTCGTCGTTTTCAATAACAATGAAATTGTCGGTGGAGAGCATTAATTGTTGATCAGTATTGATCAACAGTCATACCACTATGCCGCACCTATTTTTGGATGCGATGTAATACAAACGTCACATGTGGCTATTGAAAAATTAAAAAAAAAATAATTTCCTGCCAGTTTAAAAGTTGACCATTGATCGTACTTGATCAACAACCAATCACATTCACAACATCTATTTTTGGATGCATCAATCTCTGACACTTGCGGTGACAGGAAGCATGTTATTAAAAATTGTTCTAAAAAATAAAAAAATTTCCTCCTGCAAGTTTAAAAATCGACCGTTGATCATGCTTGATCAATGGCCAATCACGTTTAATGGATGCGGCAAGCGGCGACTAGAAGCATTTAGAAAAAAAAGTTGTTAAGCTTTGGTCTCGCATAATTAAAAGCTAAAACAAATTGGATTTTTTGTACGCCAATTTTCTCATTTGCGGTGACACTATCCTACAGAACATCACAAATGTGATGTTTTGGTATATTAACAATATATCAAGAAATTCACCATAATTTTGCCTCCTACATGAACAACTTTTAGGAGGTTTTTAAACTCTAGTCTTTTGATAGTCTTCCATGTAAAATATCAGACACCTTCCTAGTTTATATTACTAGATATCTCTAGAAAATCATTAATTTTTATGTGATGCACAAATCTCCAAAGATAGTTTGAATGTTCTAATCACATTTAAATTCCTTCTTGTTCATTAGATTAATCAAATAGTTTGTTTTTGTATACTCATTAATGGTAGCAATTGATATTTAATAACGCTTGAACTCCTTGTATATTTGTCAATTGACCGAGCAACTCCAATAAAGATTTTGAGCCCCATGCAACAAAGTTCGATTTTTTTTTATTTTAGTTTTCTTTTTCTTAAGATAAAAGGAACAACAAACTAAATTGTTGGCTAAATTTTGATATATTTAACTGTATTTATGATAAAATATGAAACTAAAATAGAAAATGAGGAAAACAAGAATATTGCATTAGAGAGCAAGTTTGAGTAAGAAGAGAAATAGAATTTGAGCCAATGAAAACTGATGAAATTTCTAGTGCATAATGTAATAGGTTGATGTAAGAAGCGACAATGAAGACATGATAGATAAAAAATTATAGAAGAAATGTTTCAGGAGATGAGATAATAGAGCTACTTTAAATGTCAATAATCAATCCTTACATATCTCAAAAGGAATGTGTTTATATAATTTGTCAAAAATAGTATCCTTTTTCAAAATATTTTTTGATGAAATTTCTTTGGAGATGATTTACTAAAACGATTTTAGATTTGCTAAAAATGGCAAAATAGGCTATGTGCAGTGAAGGGGTAGAGGGAGATGAGAGAAAAGGGGGACAAGTAATTGTGGGAAGAAGGCGATCTTTGTGGTTAGGGAGCATAAGGTGAGAGATGCTATTGGACGAAAGTGGGAAGAGCGGAGATATAAGAATGGGCACTCAAGATAGGAAATGGGTATAGAAAAGTGAGAGGTGAAGGTGCAAAAATGGAAGGGGATATAGAAAGGCGTTAGGAAATATGAAGAGTTTCAGAATGTGAAATTGAAAGGGATTTGATTGGAAAAAGGTAGGAAAGGGGTAGGAATTGCCAGAAAAAAAAAGTAAAATTAAGAAGAGAGTAGTTGTGGTAGTGGTAGTAATGACCATGGGTCAAAAGGAAGAGGAAGAGGTTGTAAAGGCAAAATTGGGTGATAGAAAATGGAGGTATGAGAAAGGTGGCCATTGTATAAGTACTTACCATGTCTGATATCACGCCTATATACATCTTTAAAATGTGACAAAGCTGCAGACCTCTTCTTGTATGGTCCTCACTTTTTTGACCCTCCTAAATCTTTCGATCTAGGAGCAAAAACTAGAGTTGGATTAGAACTTTTATCAAACCAATCTACTATTATCTCGACCTGGTTGGGTAATCTAAAAAAAATCAGCAATTTGAGTTCACAAACCTTTAAGAAAACCAATTGATGTACTAATACTACAATTAACATTAAAAAAACAAGAAAAATAGAATGGAACATGTACCAAGTCTATCATTTTGGACTCAAAAAATTAGATACAATTAATATAAAAAACTAGTTAAGAATTTCGAATTACTCTAGCATAAAAAAATCAAGTATATCATTTTTAGACTCCTTATTCTAGCATCTTAGCTTGAGTTTTATTCTGCATAGCAAAAACAAAACTAACTTCGACCTCTACAAGAAGAAATACATTGAAATAAAGCAATAACATTTCAAATATGAAACGAAATGCTTTTTTCCCACTACTGACAACCCTATATAAGAATAAACACTATAAAAAGAAAAAGAAGCAAAAGAAAAACAAGGTATGTGAACATCGAAACTTAAACTAACCTATTTAACAATTTCGGTAACTGATCGATTTCAACCAAAATTTTTTTGGAATTTTAACCATAATAAGAATTAACCCATTAAGAGTTAGAGTGAGTAAAGATTCAAAAATGATAAGAAGAGGACAAGTATGAGTAGTGATCAAAAGGAGGAAAATGAGTGAGTGAGGACTAAGGAGAAGAATTGAGCAAAGAAGAGTGACGAAGAGAAATAAGAAGTTAGTGGTTAGGGTTCTTGCAATTTACTCAATTTCGTCATTTTGTCATTTTGTATTTGTCAAATGTCAATTTACTCAATTTATAACCACAAAATTTACAAATTGACTAATTGCTAATTATTAGTCTAACTCTCTAGTCTAAATAACCTACTCAAAAGTCATAAGTTACTAATTAGTAATTACTAAATACTAATTTACCAAATTGGGATCCTAAATTCTTTTATATGGATTATGTTCTTCACTAGTAAAATTTTTTATTTTGATTTGAACCCCAAAATTATTCAAAATTTAACATGCTAATCCTGTTCTAACAATTTGGAAAATCCATTAGTAATCATTTTTTCCTATATCTAGTTATATCTTGAATGATTTAAGAAGAAAACAAAAAGTGGTTAATTCAAATCAAATTACAATTCAATGTAAAACATAATAAGTTACAGTTTACAATGATAAGTGATTACTTTGCCAATTTCACTTGTGTAGTTATGTGTACTTATACATTTATTCATGAAATGAGATTAACATGTAATGCATTACACTTATTAATTTATTCTTATTTTATGTAGTTTAAATGCTTAATTTTCAAATGATCTGATTACTTTCAATGGTGAATTATAATACATTAATATGTTCATGTGCAATGTATGTGCATTGTCCTTAATTGTCCATCCTTAAATAAGATTAGTGATTAGTGAATATAAATTCATATATTATACGTGTACTTTTAGAGTATGCTTACATGTTACATATTCAAATATTCAATAATTCAAACATGAAACAATGTCTAATCACTAATTATGTGTAATCTTTAGAACTATACTTATCTAGTTCTTTATATAAGGATAAGTATTATAGTTAGTTTATTATTATAGTTATATTACAAACATTAAAATAGGTATATGATAATTCTACCTACTGTTATAGCTTTACCTATATAATATATAATAATACTACTATTATTATAGCTTTACTTATATAATATATAATAATACTACTATTATATACAAACATACAATTATTTGAGATATATAGTACATAAACTAATTTGGCAAATGAATGCGATAAATGGTAGCCTATCCTATTTTCTGTATTTGAGTTAAAATTGGTTATTATCAATTTGCAAATCCTATTATTATTAATTGCAAATACTAACGGCGCATCACATCTCACTTTACCAGTTTAAAATTACCAACTTCATTTCAAAATTAAATAGTAAATTGGTGTAAATCCATTTATGCTTATCCCCTAGTGATCGAGGGGCCATAAATGAGAAGGGTGGCGCAGATTAGAGGGTCATGATTTGGTGCCTGAGAATAGAGAAAGAAGTGATGATGTGTTTGTGTGTGGATATGTTCTTTAAGTGATTTTTTGTATTCTGTGGTGCTTTCTATTGGCATTCTTATTTGTCTTTTTTGGTGTTTTAGACTAATTTTTTCACTTTTATTGTCATAGATGTATATTCCATATAATGTTTGGGAAAAAATGAGTCTAAACAGAGCCAATTTTTTTCCAAATGAAAAAAAGCCCCAAGTTTTTTAATAATGTCAAATGGCATGTCCCATTTTCTCTCTTCTCCCCTCTTTCTCTCTCTCTCACTCATATAAATAGGTTTGCACAATTAATTTTTTTTATAGAAACTCGTTAACATTTTGAGATTTTGTTTTTTTTTTTTTGTTGAACCTTAGAAGGGAATTGTTGGATTTTTCATGATTTAGATTAAGACTTCAATATAAAGATAAATTTGTCGTTAACTGGTGTGATGACCCCACCTCCCCCTAGGCGTAGCTAAGGGTTTGACAGACCGCCTGCTCAACTATCGCCAGGACTCACTATAATAAATTCTCAAAATAATCTTTCAAGCCTCCAAATTAACATTAGAGTTCTACAATTCAACCAAAATTCAAGTTTAATTACAACCAAAAGTGTAACGTAAGATACACCGCCAAATATCAAAATATAATCTATCTGCCAAAATACATGTGCAAGAGAATCATTACACATTAGTTCAAACTTATTAATTCCTGACCTCCACTCCTGTAAGGAAAACAAACTAATAGGATGAGCTTACTCCCAGTGATGTTCCCAAACAAGCATCCAAACAAAACACCAGCCAAATTACAAAATATTCCATTTAACAATTTCACACACTTTTTACAGTGATAAACAGTTTCAAGGCATTCCAAGAAGTAAACACTCAATCATTTAAAGGATACGAGCCCATTTAGAGCTATTTATTCATTCATTCATTCAATCTCCGCCCATCTCTTCCTTATAACTTCTGACATTTGAAAATAAAAATTTCTACATTGATCATTTCATCTATTCATTCAATTCATTTTATTCACTGGTCAGTACTCCACCTGATTTCGTGCTAATATTCGAGTATACCAAAACACTATCTCAAGATTACCAACCTATCCGACAGAGTTCGCTTCTGACTCGAGTCGGCCGGCAACAAATCATTATCAAAACCATTTATCAAATACAATAAGCAAAAAAAAGCTATTGATTTTCACTAGATGAAAACTAACAACAAAACCATTTACTCCCCTATTTATATCAATTTTCTACACATATATACCTATCTACTATTGTATAGCCATACATAATAAAAATATTCAACACCTTCATTATTTATATTTTTTCCCAGCATACATTTATTCATGAAAATAATATTTATACCACTTAAACACAAAATCTCATTCATACCCAAATTTTCACACATACTCATTTTTCTACTATTCACTAATTTTATTAACCTTTATTATTATCTAAGTAATATCACCACTTCACACTTTTCCTATTACCCTAAAACACACTTTTCCTATTACCTAAAACACATACAAGAAACAAAAAACTATTCATGAACAAATCTTGGGCAACCCTGCTCGAAGAGCAAGGTAAAGCCAACCAATAATTTACAATACATACTTGCTGCTATGGTGTAGCTTTGTTTCTTTGTTAAACTTTAGAATGAAATGCTGAATTACTTGATTTAGAGTAACACATCAACCAAAAACAGAGTGAATGAAATAAGTTATCATCAAATTATTAATTTTTATAAAGTGTGTATACTAGCATAGCACATGTAACTTAAAAGTTTATTTATTTATTTTTATTCAAAAGCGACTCCGATCCTTAAGCGGGAAAGGGTAGGGGGGAAGCTTCTCATCCTTCTATTTGTAAAAGGTGGAAGGGGAAAAAAAAAACCTTCTTATCCTTCTATTTGTAAAAGGTAATTTTAGGCATATCTCAACAGCAACGATCAGGGGTGAGCAAAAAATCCGATCCGATCCGAAACCCGATCCGATCCGATCCGAAAAATAGGATATCCTCCGATTTTTCTTAGCGGGGCAGATACGGGTTGGGTACCCGCAAAAATGGATACGGATATGGATCAACAAAATAAAAACCCGCAGGTACCCGACCCGCAAGATATATTATATAAATATTAAAAAAATAAGGGTTCATTATATGATTTTATAATTTTTAATTCTAAGTGTAAGTAAAGTGGTTCACAACCTCATATTTTAATCTCATATGATCCGCCTCTCCTCATCTTGTGTAAAAAAAAGTGAATATTCTTGGTGAAACGTGAACCAAATGAATAAAACAAAGAAAAATTTGTGAAACTCTATCACAAAAATTGTTTATCCCTTTCATCCTTTTTCATTTTTATTCTATTTCTATCGATCTTTCCTGCAAATTTTTCACCAATTCAATAAAAAATTTGTGTTTGGAGCTCCAATTTTCTGTTAGCTAGATAATTAAAACATTTGTGTCTTTCATTTATTTATTTATTTTATTGCAATTGTGTCTCTTAAATTTGTCTCCTTTATTTTAGTGCAAGAAATTTATTTTTCTTTTTCATCACCTTTAATGCAACAAGGTCTATTCCAAAGATGTAAGAAAGTTGAGGAAAATTTTTCAAGATTATTTTGGTTATACTTTCTTCAAAAATTATTAGTTCTGTTCAATTCTTTTCCAGACTTGATTCCACAATCGACTAATTTTGGATGCAATCTTGTACCATAATATCCTTAAGGAAATTGGAAAAGTTGCCATATACTTATTATCCTTGTGTTTGTTATGTTGTAAAAGGATGAAATGCGTGAAAATGGTGATGTACTCAAAATTATCATAAAACATCGTTTTATCCTTGTGTTTGTTATACTTGGAAAAGTTGGAAAAGTTGTCATATACTTATTATCCTTGTGTTTGTTATATTGTAGAAGGATGAAATGCGTGAGAATGGTGATGTACTCAAGATTATCATAAAATTTCGTTTTATCTATTAGATATTATAATTCTAATATGTACTAAATTTATGAAATCGGTTTGATTATTAGATGAAATGTGTGAGAATGGTGATGTATGGATTTTGATTATAATATCTCTACCAATGTTAATTGAAAAGCTACTTTTTTTTATTGGAAAAATGTTGATATTAAGTGAAAAATATTTTTTTATTGAAAAATAGTTTTTTTTTTAGCAGCCCCTTTTTTTTCGAGTACCCGAATAGCGGGTATCCAAAAACATTAGGAGCGGGTTAGGTCGCAAAATAGCTGATCCGATATTTTAGGGGCTGATATCCGACCCGTGCCCACCCGTTGCAGGTTTATCACTTGACTAGTTGACGTCTTGGTCCACGGGCCCTATAGTTATTTTACAAAATATATGGGGTATGATAGTAACATGACGAAAACACATGGGAGGTAAATGTAATTAAAACGCAGAGACTAACAAGTAACAACCCAAGCCAACGAACGACGCCGTTATGTAAAGCATGTGCCCTAAAACCCTTTACAGCCGCTTTCCATTCCTGTCCAAAACCCTAGCAGGTCGGAAATCATCCTGATTCTTCCCTCTTCTCAATTCAGCTCTGCTGCGTGTTTCTGAGCGTGTTTTTGTGTGTGATAGAGAAAAAAGTTCTCAAGTAATGGGGATTTTTGAACCGTTTAGGGCCATAGGATACATCACAACCAATGTCCCTTTCTCCGTTCAGAGACTCGGCACCGAAACCTTCGTCACCGTCAGCGTCGGAAAAGCATGGCAAATTTACAACGTAATTTTTATTTTCTTATTTTATGCATTTCCATTTGGGTACAATTTTTTTTGGCAAATTTTGGAATTTTTTTGAAGGCTTTAATTCTTGTTTCTTGCAGTGCGCCAAGCTCAGTCTGGTACTAGTTGGTAAGTATTGGAACCTCGTGGTTTTGTTTCTCCAATTCATTTCTATATTTCAATGCATATTTCTTGAGCATTAGTGTTTAAATGCTACTTTTTCAATTAATTTTTTTTTTAAAAATGAAGTGATTAGTTACGGAGAAGAAAGGATTTCTTTCCATCTGTACAAAATCTGTTCTGAAGGGAAATTTGGAAGCGTTTGGAGAATACCTTTAGGAAAGGAGGTTCTGAAGTTCGATATATTTTGGATTTTGGAATTGGAATTTACCATATACACAGTTTGAATTAGAATGACAACCAAAAGGCCTGATGAACTGTAGAAGCAAATTTAGTAAATAGACTACTGTAGAAGTAAATTTAGTAGCATTCCAGTTCAAAAAAATGCAGTAAATAGACTACTGATGAACTTCTACATTCCAGTTCAATAGAAATGTAGTAAATTTGCTTCTGGCTGTGGCTGATGACAACCAAAAGGCCTGTCTAAAAAAATTGAAGATATATAACTAATTAAAAAATAGAGGATCTGAAGATTAGGGCGTTCGAATTTTCTGGTTAAATGGTCAACTGCCTGTTTCCAATAAATTTGGTTCATGTGTTTTTAGATGATTAATTGTGCCTGTAGTTGGTTAACCACTTCTATTATTTGGTTTCGGTTTGTTTGTAGGGTTGTCTTACCAAGTAAACTGAACCATCAATAACCAAACTTGTGGATTTGATTTGTAGTTGCTAAATTGTGAAAAAATTGTTTATTAAAATTTAAGTGACCTGTTGTGAAACTTCTAACGAAATTAATAACCCCAGTAAAATGGTGCCCATTTTGGTTGGTTATCCTGGCAAGTACATTTACTCAGGTTGCTTTGGATAGCATTTAAGAGCCAAAACCGCATAAGCTCTTCATAAATTAGCAACTCTTGATCTGGAGCTGCTGTAAAACTTAATTCAATATGGAATTACTGCAAAGGAATCTTGAAACTATCTTTGGACTTTCTCTTTCTTGACCCTTTTAGGTATTAATATTGTGATGTTTGTGTGTTTGTACTACACTTACCTTCTTCTAGTTACTTTAAGCCTATATAAGGCTTGTATTGTGCTTCTTAGATATATAATAAGCACAATAGCACAATGGCGATCCTTATATAAGCTTGGACTAAACACAAAAAAGCATTGTACGTTCTTCTTGCTAACCTTAGGCTTGTATAAATTGATCCCTGCACTTATTGTGTGATATCAAGCACAATGATAAGCTTATTTAGGTTTTAGTTTAAAGGCAAAGAAGCGTAATACTATCCTAATAATGTACATTAGAATTAGGGACTGCACATATTACCAGCATGTTAACTGACGTGGGCATATTGTAGAGAAAGGGAAAATGTGGCTTCTAAAGATGTACTGGAGATTTCTTGGATACTTCTGAATGTAATTTGTATTGCTTACTTATTGTACTGGTCAGCTAATTCCTACTTGTATGGACAGTATTTGATGGACTTGTTGGGGAGCTTTCTGATTGCCGTACCTCTTGTATTTGTGGTTTTTTGTGTCATTAATTAGTTGTAAAGAAGTTTTGCTAGACTTGCATTAATTCATGATGTCTGGTGCTTTCTTTCGTATTTGATTGTGAAATCTAGCACCTTTAGTACTCATTGTCAATGTGTTGCAAGCATGAATAAATGTTGCAAATAGAATTTTTCATGTAACTGTAGATCTTTTGATTTGATTAGTATCTCAAAAGTGTTCTGTTGGCAAAATTGTTGTTGATTGTATAGTTGTAAAGTTTTTACTGATTCTTTATCTCTTCCATCAACTTATTGAGTTTGTATTTCTCTCTAATTATTGCTAAACATGCTTACTGGTGAGGATTTTAATGAAGGCCCTCAACTTCCAAAAAAGATACGAGCTCTTGCTTCTTATCGCGAGTACACCTTTGCTGCAAATGGGAGTAGTATTGCAGTTTTTAAACGTGCCCATCAGGTTTGTCCTAAAAGTTCTGTGTATTGCACGGATGACAGGTCTTCATGATGTGAAATTTAATATGTGTAGCTTTATTAGCGAATCATTTCCTTGGTAAAAAGGACTGTCAGTTATGCTTTACAATAGGCTTTTGGTCTATTTGATTAGTTTTATTGGAACGGTTCTATGTCAACATGTTCTAAAGGACTGCACACTGAAAATGCCCCATATCTCCTTGAAACTGCTAGGCTAGTTAGAAAATGCAAATACCATACGGATGAGTTATCATGCTTTTGTTGCTAGACTTTGCATGACTTCTTGCATTTGATGCATGACCATTTGTCAGAATAAGCTGTAGGTGACCAATTATACCTTGCTTCATGTCTTTGCCAGAAAGTCATGACATGAATTGAGTTGATTTGTTCCATATTGCTGTACCAAAGAATGGTATTCTTATATTAGGCATTCTCAATCTTCTAAGACAGTTCTGCACATTCATTACTTCTTTTCATGTTCCCAGGCAGCAGGCACTATTAGTGAACACACATTTTTGTGGCACACATTTGGCCTCCCATTTTTATGGACGTGGTAACTTCCTCTTCAACATGTTTAGTATACTAGCCAGATGATGAAGCCTATAAGGAAATAATATGTGTATTTATTATTCTTATTCGTTGTCAGACATTCACTTTGACATGGTAGGGAGCCTGCATTGGTTTTAAATGGTTTAGTTGATTTAGAACATTCAAATTAAGAAATGAACATGAATAAGGTAAGGTTTAAAGAAATATTATGCAATTGAAAAGTGTTTGCCCACAAAGATAGGTGATTATATAGTCTACTAGCTAAATATAAGTTTGGCAATAGCAAATGCACTAGTAGCAAGAAGAAAACACAAAATGGTTGAAAAATCTGGGATTTACCACAGATCAATCAAAGCAATAAAAAGAATCGCTCCTCAGGACCAGTTTGAAATGGCTCAATTATTTTTGGAGAAGTTAGTTGAAGCATATAATCATCAAGTAGCTAGTGATAATAGTAAGAACCTATCTAAGCAAGCTACTGGTAGTCAATTTGAGCAACTGCTTCAGCAGGCAGGAGAATCTATTTTGACTAGTCTTACTAGGGATTAACTAAGTATGTTACTTTCATTTGCTCTGCCAAAATAAAACTGTCATAAGAAGCAAGGTTTGTGGCTAAGCAATGTTTTGTATAGTTAAAGTAAGAAGCTTAAGAAAGTTATTCCTAAGAAACCTTAGTGCCTGTAATTGGAAAATTTTCTATGAATATGAATAGGAATAGAAATCTTTCACCCCACAATTTTGGTGTTTCCTATCCAGAAGTATGTATGTTCATGATCATAGTGCCTGATTGTCAATGACTAAATGTAGGTTCGAAGTAGTACCTTGCATGAAAAGGAGATCGTAATAAGAGAACTTTTTAAATGATTGTTATATGAGGAGTTTGTTTGTTACTAAAAAAAAATTGAACCTTATTGTGAGGTTTACATGTGGAACAGGTGGCGACTTGGAGCAGGCATGGTGCAAAGGTTAATCACTTGCTTCTTTTTGGTGCACATATCTTAAGTGTTGATGTTGAAGGCAATATATTCACATGGGCATTCAAAGAAATAGACAAGAGCCTTGCTCCAGTTGGACATGTTATGCTTGAGGACAACTTCACCCCTAGTTGCATAATGCACCCAGATACTTACTTGAACAAGGTATCTGATATCCCTGACTTTATAGTCTGTCTTTCATGACTATTTTTTGGAACTTGTTTCTCATCAACAAATTGTGAACAGGTTATAGTTGGAAGTCAGGAAGGGTCTCTTCAACTTTGGAATATTAGCACAAGGAAAAAACTTTATGAGTTCAAAGGGTGGAAATCATCTATAAGCTGTTGTGTTTCATCCCCAGCTTTAGATGTTGTTGGGATTGGATGCGCTGATGGAAAGATTCATGTGCACAACATTCGCTATGATGAAGAGATAGTGTCCTTTAGTCATTCTACTCGAGGTGCTGTAACAGCCTTATCCTTCCGCACTGATGGGCAGCCCCTTCTAGCTTCTGGAGGTTCTTCTGGGGTCATAAGCATATGGAATCTTGAGAAGAGAAGACTGCAGTCTATTATTAGAGAGGCCCATGATTGCTCTATAACTTCTCTCTACTTCTTTGCTAATGAGCCTGTACTGATGAGTTCATCCATGGACAATTCTCTTAAAATGTGGATTTTTGATACAAGCGATGGGGATCCTCGTTTGCTGAGGTTTAGAAGTGGGCACAGTGCTCCTCCTTTATGCATCAAGTTCTATGCTAATGGCAGGCACATTCTATCAGCCGGTCAAGATCGTGCCTTTCGACTTTTTTCTGTGATCCAGGACCAGCAAAGCAGAGAGTTATCTCAGCGTCATGTTTCTAAAAGAGCAAAAAAGCTCAGGTTGAAGGAAGAAGAGATAAAGCTGAAGCCTGTCATTGCATTTGATGTTGCTGAAATTAGGCAACGTGATTGGTGTAATGTGGTGACATGCCATAGAGATACTGCTCAAGCATATGTGTGGAGGCTTCAAAATTTTGTCCTTGGCGAGCATATTCTTACTCCATGCACCGAAGACCAGACACCAGTTAAGGCATGTACCATCAGTGCATGTGGCAACTTTGCTATTCTAGGTACTGCCGGTGGGTGGATTGAGCGATTTAATCTACAGTCAGGAATTAGCCGAGGCAGTTATCTAGATGCATTGGAAGGGAAAGGTGCTGCCCATGATGGTGAAGTCATTGGCCTTGCATGTGATTCTACAAATACTATAATGGTAAGTGCTGGATATCATGGGGACATCAAAGTATGGGATTTCAAGGGACGCGAGTTAAAGTCTAGATGGGAAATAGGCAATTCGCTGGTAAAGATTGTTTATCACCGTGTAAATGGGCTGCTGGCTACTGTAGCTGATGATCTAGTCATTCGATTATATGATGTTATTGCACTACGAATGGTTCGTAAATTTGAAGGTCATACTGACCGTATAACTGACATGTGCTTTAGTGAGGATGGAAAATGGCTTTTGACATCCAGCATGGATGGGAGTCTTAGAATCTGGGATGTTATCTTGGCCAGACAGATAGATGCCATGCAGGTTGATGTGTCTATAACTGCATTGTCATTGTCACCCAATATGGATGTCCTAGCAACAACTCATGTTGATCAAAATGGAGTTTATCTGTGGGTCAATCGGGCAATGTTTTCTGGATCTGCTAATTTTGAATCATATGGCAGCAGGAATGAAATTTTGAGTGTCAAGTTGCCTTCCGTTGCTCCTGTAGAAGGCTCTCCAGAGAATGACTCTGAGAAGACCATTTTAGATGCTCCTTTGCAAAATACTTCTCACTCCACAAAATTAGATAAACAAATCCCTGATCTTGTTACCCTTTCACTTTTGCCCAAGAGTCAGTGGCAAAGCTTGATTAATCTGGACATTATCAAGGCCAGAAACAAACCAATTGAGCCTCCCAAAAAACCTGAAAGGGCACCTTTTTTCCTACCTTCTATTCCATCTCTTTCTGGTGAGATATTATTTAAATCTGGTGAATCTGCTGATAAAGAGAAGGATACTCAAGCTGGTGAAGCATTAAGCAACGGAAAAAAGTCTGATCTACCACCATCCCAGTTCTTGCAATATCTTCAGTCATCTGTGGATGTAGGAAATTGTGAGTCCATTGGTTCTCTGTTATTTGTTTGGGCTACTAGTTGAGCAGTGGTAGCATAGGTTATAGTATGGCCAAGTTGAATTCTGTGAGGTTGGGGGTAGCTTAGATTTTGAAATAACATGTATTGGTAACTCAGTTTTCTTTCTAGTCTTTATGTGGAGTAAAACTTGAATAATTGTGGGGGCACTGGTGCTGTGAATGGCTAGTAAATTGAGATAGAAAACTAGAAGGTAATTAGTAAGTACCAAAACATCTTTTCAACGCATAAAAAGGGTTTCAGTCTTTCTACTGTTTAGATGCGAACTGCCGCTTTCGACTGTAGCATTGATTTGACAGGGCTGATCATGAATCTATGTTGGATCCTATATAAGTAAAGTGAACTTCCATATTACACCATTTGGGTGGTGTAAATACGGACCTAAAGCATTTTTAAGTGTAGTGGATAATGAATTTAGGAGCGACATGATTTCTGTTTAGTTTCCGTAATTTTGTCATTTACACCTGCTTTGATCTATGTTGCAGTTTCAGCTTTCACGGATTACATCAAAAGCTTATCTCCTTCAGCTCTGGATATGGAACTGAGAATGCTTCAGGTTATTGATGATGATGATCAAGAAATGGACAAAAGGCCTGAGCTATACTTTATTGAACTGCTTTTGGATTATTTTGTGCACGAGATTTCATGCAGGAATAATTTCGAGTTTATTCAGGCTGTCATCAGATTGTTTTTAAAGGTATGAATTTTATAGTGTTCTCTATTTGTTTTTCTTCCACAAGGGAGTTTTTTTAGCTTGTAAAATTAGAAAATAAAAATGACATGCAAGTTCTTATAAGGAGAAGCATCTCCTAATTCTCTGTTTTGAGATCTTGAATTTTATGAGTATGAGCACATAATCATCTATTGCTTAGGTTTCACTAGCTACTATCCATTTGGTCATATGACATGTTGCTCGTGTTCTTTGCCGGCCAGATTCATGGGGAAACAATTCGGTGCCAGTCAAAGTTACAGGACAAAGCAAGGAAGCTTTTGGAAGTCCAATCAGCAGTATGGCAAAGAGTGGATAAGTTGTTCCAGAGTACTAGATGCATGGTGACATTTTTGAGTAATTCACAGTTTTGATTGCTGGATTAATGGATGCCTTCTATCCTAGAAGCTCATTCTGTTGCCAAGAGTTCAGTTTTCCATGCCAAACTGTGTTGCAAACTTGTCACTTACACGGTTTGGTACTGAGATGGAGCTTCGCTTAACTAGTCCACGATGAGTATTACGTTTGTTCGCTATATGTCTTATGGGTTCTGGGACCATAGATGAAAGGAGGTTATTTTATGGGCACTTGCAAGGTTCCAGTTCTCATTCCGCCCATCAGATCTTCACCATTTTGAAAGAATAAGCTTATATAAGGTTGTGGTGAATCCTTACGTGCTGATCTTGTTGGCCACAGCTATCGAGCTTCATGGGCAGCAGCATGGGAGCGGAATCTCTTCAAGGGTCAAAAGTTTGCTATCGTATACTAATCCATTTTCCGCATGGCATATCAGGATTCTTTTCTGAACAGAACGTGGTACAAGTGGCTACATAGATTCCAGTTTAATTTTTAAGTGTGGGCAACCCAGTTTCAAGGCCTATACTTTTTTTTTTTTTTTCCCTTGACTGGAAAATATAAGATGTTCAATTATGGAAGGAAATATATGTAATTTTCTCATTGGTATTAGAGCAGGAGTTATTTGATTCGATTCTGGTTATGTATTTTGCAAGACATTGAAAATCTGTAGTTTGTTATTCAGTAAAATTTGAAGGATGGATATTGATCAAATGTTCAGTCCACTTCTATAACCAACAACCCTAAACACTTGGTAATAAATCACGTGCTTTAGCCACATAAAATCATATACAAGATGAAACAACAGTTGTTCTGGGAAATCTTATTTTATTTTATTTTTTTTTGTTTTTTGAACTTGCAACGTTGTTTTAAACCCAACTTAGAATACTCAATATGGCCGATTAAACCAAGATTGGATTAGGTGTTCAGTTCAAATATTTAATAGAAAAGGGTGGTAAACATCCAACCAAATCTTGATTTTCTCTATGATAAAAGTGTTTTGATATATCACACCTAAAATTGGATTCTCTTTGGAACAAATTCTTGATCTAAATATCTAATGAAACTGAATCCTGCTAGCATAAAGTATTAGCTCGATAAAGTATCTGAACTATCTAGATTATGAAATCATCCAGGTTACAATATAAGATTGATTCCATTTGTATTAGCTATTTTTTTTTAGAGATTTTTTCAAATGCTTTATTGTAACTGTACATATGAAAAATACGAGTGGCAAAACTATATGCCATTCCTGTATGTAAATGTAGTTTTTAAATTTATAAAGATGGTCTATAATCTCTTCTTGTGACAGCTTTCTTGACTCAAAATTATTGGCGGCAACAAGGGAGGCTATAACAATCTGTACTTGATTGTGATTGGAAAATTGTTTTAACATGATGAAGTTAATTAATTCTGTTGATTTGATTTGTTTCTTGCTTTGTCAACACAAGAAGAAAACTTCGTGAATGATTATTTTAGCTTGCTAGCTTCAAAAAAAGTTCGGTAGATTAATTGGAAAGCTTGGTGACTATTTTTTTTTTTTTTGCGCTGGCAAAACTAATAACAGCTAGTGATCTTTGTGCTACAAATATGTTTGTCAAATATGAAATTTCTTAAATTTATTTACTTGTTATTTGAGTATGGAGTAATTAACTTGTAGATCTGATGATTTATAAAATGTGCAGATATTCATTTGGGTGCTGGTAATTTTTCTAGAATTTGGAATATACTATAGTAATTTTTAATTATATATTTTTTCAGAGAAAAAAAAAAGAATGTGTTTAAAAATAGAGTTCCATCTATTTTGGGGTAGGCCGCCTACTTGTAACATAGACAGTTGGATCAAGCAGGGACAATTGGATCATCCGTCCCTTAGATTGGTAGTCATAATTTGGATGGGGACAGAAATGATTGTAACCCTTGATAACTATTTCTAAATATTAGTGTAACGCTTTATGAACAAATTGTAATTCATTGTAAATTAGTTGTATGTTTGTCTTTTATGTTAGAGTTATGTGGTATATGCTGTGAACCGTATAACTTATAATTTCTCTTATTTGCAGAATTTGGACGGACGTGACTTCTTTCCCATAGATTTTCTTTCTATTTTCTACAGTGCATACTTATCTTCATTTATTAATAAAGTTAAGATCAGTCAAATTTAAAATAATTATGTCTCTTGCCGATAAATAAAGACATATATTATGCATTCAGATGTACATTATGAGAAATGGAAAGAGACTCCGCTAGAGAGAAATCAAATCCAATTTGGAATTAAATTATTTCAAACAGTTGTCTCTTACAACCATCATCGTAACCCCTTTTCCATTCATAATCTGGCCATCATAGCCAAAAAATAATGTTTACATTATGTTAAGAGTAAGACTCACCCTTGAAAGTACCAATTGTTTACAAGTGTTTATACGTTATACTGATGAACAAATTTGGACTGTGCATCATCTGTGTTGCTTAATGCCTTAATCAAATGGTGAAACATTGTTGTACATTTTGACTTTTTGCACATAACTAAAATGGACCGTGATTTCAATTACGAAATGAGTTACTCAAAAAAAAAAAAGAAAAGTGAAATGAGTTATCAACGCTTCTTATGTTTAAAAATCATTTTTGTTTTATGATCAGAGAAATGGAGGATCCTAATCATGTAGCTTACTGTCAAGCTTCATTACAAAATTATCTTACATAGAAATTTTTATAAGGTATAAATGGAGGATCCCGATTTCCAGTCAAAAGCTTCATCCTTCACTATCTTTCCCTATATATATGTAACACAATACTCCATTCGTTCCATAAAGATAATCTCGAAAAATTTTATGTCGGTCAAGATCAACTATTAGGCATGTCTAATAATTGTTCTCTAATCAATGAAAAAGTTTCACATGGACACAGAAGAGTTCGACTTGGTTTCATTTAACATGTTAAGTGACCCATTTAACATGTGAATTAACAAGTGGGATTTTTTATGTTTAGGTGGAGCTTTCTATTAGTTTTGGATCAACTATTAGGCATATTTTGTAGTTACTCCGAATCCACATAAAACTTCTCAGATAACCTCACTTCCAATTTCACACAAATTAAGAAGCATAGTTAACATAATGATTTTTATTTAGTAATCTTCTTATATGCCCTTCCATTGATACTCCCTCCGTCCTACTTTGATAGTTTTGTTTTTCGTCTTCATCTATTCCAAATTATAGTTCATTTTTTAATTGAAAAATATAGTTAACTTTTAATTTCTCTAAAATACCCTCATTTAATATACTTTATTATAGTAAATATAACCTACCTTATTTAAGACAGTCAACTTTTTCACCAACAATTGCTTTGATATATGTCTTGAATGGAGTAATATACCATCAGTATTGCTGTTATAATTAATGTAAAGGTATAGTGATTAGTTATATTTCTAATATTAATGAAATGGTATTTTAGGGAAACAATAGGTTAGATTTAATTTTTAACAAAGTTAAAACAATGTGAGAAAAAACTAAACTATTAAAGTGGGACGGAGAGAGTACTTATTATTTCTAATCGAATGGATGATTAATAGAATAGCATCTTTTAGAACATTTATTATTGCTCATTAAGATGCACATTAATTATAGGTATAGTAGTAAGTCCATATACCAACTATCATTTTAAAAAGGAAACAGGCCTATAATTAATAACAAACACAAAGAAAGTGAATCATCTTTACGGGATGAAGGAAGTATTATTTTGAAGCATTGAATTTTTGCGTTTTTTGGGTCGGGCATCATATATATATATATATATATATATATATATATAATAAAGTCGTATTCTCATTTTTATCGCTTTATGCTTTTTCTTTCCTACGTGGCTTAACGACAGGGCAAGTGGTTTCAACACGCTCTATAAAATAACCTACGCTCTTCCATCTCTCTCTTCTTTTGCCTTTGTTCATTTATTCCATGATTTCCACCTTTTTTAAAAAAAATAATCTATGCTCTATATGGAGCTTATCAATTTCTTTTCATAAGCACGAAATCAATTATCAATATTTATCTAAATTAAATTTCAAATATAAAACCGTCCTTATCATCTATGTATGGCTTATAAAACCGTCCTTAGCATTCTATCCTATATTCGCGGCCGATTATCATTCTATCATAATCATATATTTGCGGCCGCTTGCTCCTCTTTTGGTTTGTGAACTTCTAGGTATAACAACAAGGTATGACCTGTATAATTTCTTTAGCATGCACGCCTTATGTAAAACTATTTTTTATTATCATCTTTTTATATTCTTATCAATATCTCTTTATATCCTTATCAATTCTTATTTTCTACCAAAAGTTATGTACTTTAAGCAACTTAAATTAAGATAAAACTACTTTTAATATTCTTATCAATATCTCTTTATATTCTTATCAATTCTTATTTCCTACCCAAAGTTACGTACTTTCAGTAACTTAAATTAAGATAAAACTACTTTTAATATTTTTATCAATATCTCTTTATATGCTTATCAATTCTTATGCCTACATATAGCCTCTTTATATGGTTAGGTATTTCCAGTGCAAGCGATTGGCACATTAAAGCGTCAATTTTGGGTTTCCACTCCTCTTGATTATCAGATAAATTTTCCTTCGACATACATTTTTCTTTTTTAAAAAGACATGTTCATCTTCAATTGTAAGAATTTAGTAACATGCCTTGAATTTTGTGTGTTTTGGTTTTATTTTCTATTTGTTTTGTATGAAGAGATAGGATTTAAAATAGTATTTTCATCGTAAGTTTTCATATAGAAACATGTTAGATGTTTCCACCGAATTGAACAACATCTAACATGCTATAGGATGCATGTTAGATGTTTGTTAATTTGCCTTTGTTTCGTTTGTCCAAGGTATTGGGCTTGTAGCTGGTGCTGTGGATCCTTGCTCAGCACATACTCCAAGAGTTGAATTTGTTATTTTCGCCGACCTTTTTTTCCAACCACATGTAAGTCTGTTAGTTACTTTAGTTGAACTATCTATTCTATGTTTTTCATTGCTATTAAACATTCATATTATAAGCATTTGGCCTATGCCTCTTGAGTGATCATGAACTGAGAGGGGCAAATTTATTTTCGTTCCTTTTGCGAAGACAAAATGTCTACTAAATTTTCATCTTGAATTGTGAGTGATCATGGGCTTTGTTGTTCAGAATTGTAAATATACTTAAGAAAGGTTATAATAGAATATACATTAAGTTTGTATTTCATATCGACATTTTTATAAAATTGACTAAATAGTTTATTATTTTTCGAAGATTCCCGTTCAACGAACGGTTACAAAACTAGTTTGTTATTAAACTTGAGCCAGACCTCCCGAACAGGTTAAAGCCAAGACGTAATCAAATGCCCAATCCAAACATTCAAAACTACTAATTGGTAAAGACTAGATCAAAACCTGAAACTGGACCCTTTCCAGGACAAAATTTCTATAAAGAGGCGTTTTCTTTTCGGGCATGCTTTGTCCTTTACTCTTCTTTCATTTAATTTATCGTTTTTGGGTATTCTTCTTTGGGTTATTATTACTTTACCCCCTTCAACTATATCACTACTATCATTTTATCCTCTAATATTATCTTTTAGTCACTTTACCCCTATAAGTATTTCAACTCAACATGTTAAAAAATTTTGGACAAAAATACCCTTTTATTCTATAGCATTACTACATTGTTATTACTATTTC